ATGCGGCTATTCCGGGGTAAGCTTGCTCCTCAAACAAAATGGGGATTAACCCGAAACATTGGTCCGTCCGTCTCCTACTCGTAACAGAAACAGAAATTTCCCAACTACAGTATTTGATGCAAAGACGCAAATGGAGTGCAGGTATGTTGTAGAACGATTATTGAAACACTGATCGAACCGACAACTTCTTGTGACTTTAGCCTAGACTCAGAAAGGAAAACGGCAAGTTGTGCACAAACTTTTCAAGACAAGGCGTTGTGTAGAAGAAGAAGTGGATGTATCACATTCACGCAATGGTACGAATAATTTCATTCAGTCACAGGTTCCATTCACTCCTCGAGGCGAGACTGCCAACCGAGACGCCAATTGCGCAAGCGTGTGGAGACGTACCACGCAACTCGAACTGCCCGTTGGTCACTGAAAGCAAACAGCCATAAAGTGTCATACCAAGGTCATAACTTCTAATACACCCACGCATGCTCAACAATGTGACGTCAATGGTGCGTTGTCTTGTGGTATCGCCACTTTATTCAGGCGGGACAAGACATGATGACATCACAATATGGAGGTGACGCTAAAACACCGGACGAATCGCGACATTTCCCGGGATCCACAGCTGAACCGTTGCAGATCTAGATAATGCGGAGCATCCGGTTTGAATTTTTCATGAAGATACAAGTACCTGTGTTAATACTATCGATGGACAAACTTGGCAAACAACTTCGAGGAAAAGTGTCCCCGTCGACCCGCGTTTCCTTTAGAAATCCCGCTCCGATAATTCGCCCACGCATATACCACGTTGTTGTTGTTCTTGTTGTTGTTGTTGCTGTTCTTGATGTTGTTCTTGTTGTTGTTGTCTATAAGCTAACAACTTGCTGCTTGAGCAAACACAAAAGTTATAAGTAAATATTTTGTTTGCAACCTGTTCGCTGTTACATGAAGTATGAACTGACCTTAGGAGACTTATTCCAATGTTAGACAAATCTGGGAAATTGCTGTCATTGCCGTTTTCAGTGGGGCGCCTTAACCACTCAGATGTTGTCAAAAGTGGACCCAGAACTCTTTTCTTCTCGAAGGGATAATGTTTTTAATGGGTGGGAACTCTTCAAAAAGGAGAAAATTACGTACGAATTTTTTGGGGGGTTGTAAGGGGTGAGGCTTATTAGGCTACATGCCTTTGGAAGGAAGGGAATTAGCCCCCCCCTCAAAAAATCGCTTTTTTAGCACAATGGCCTCTGTTGCACACTCCTCTCCCCGCCACTGCCACCACCGATGTGCCAGTGGACATTCTTAATCTAAGAAAAATGCACAGTCATTTGCTCCCAGGGTTTTGGTTAATAGAAAGCTCATTTGCATTTGCCGTACATTTCACTTTATATAGACAATTTACTTCGACACAAAAACGTATGCCTTTGAAACCATGAGAGATGAGATGAATTATGAAATTAAGATCATCGAATGAACGACAAACATAAACCGAAGAAGTTTTCGAGTACATGTAGACTTTCGCATAGCAAGAAATTACGTAGAGTGGAATTCGAAGCTATATGACCCGGGGAACGCCACACTAGGCTTCTGCTAAGAGATATCCAGCCCTAGGCTTGCAGTATTGCACGTTGTCAACGTCCTAGCTCAAGTGCCCTAGTCAGGGGCCATGTAAGTGCCATGTAAGTGGCCAGAGGTATAATACCAAAATCACGATGCTGAATGGGAGATTGGAAGTGGGTGTCGTTCACAGAGGATAAAGGGTGTAGTCCAGAGGAGATGGGAGGTTTCTCCCAACTTCAAGATTTCCTTTTAGAAGGGGCAAGGAGAAGGAGAAGAAGGAACAGAAAAAAATGACGTCACGCTTCATTTACAGGTGTAATTTCCTGTAGGTGCTCAGTGGACCGTAGACCAGCACTCCTGAGAGCAAACATGCAAACAAGGCGAGACATCATCAGTACAAAGGCCTATCGTAGACTTGAATCTACACTCTAAAAACACCTGGGTCAGACTGCCCCGGAATCTGGATCCCATGGGGCCTGACCCCTATCCGGGTCAAATTATGACCCCTTGTGGGTCATATTTGATCCCTTTTAAATTTGACCCAAAAGGGGTCTTAATTTGACCCGGAAAGGGGTCAGGCCCCATGGGAACCAGGTTCCAGGTCAGTCTGACCCAAGTGTTTTTAGAGTGTGGGCAGTGTCGTATCCAGAGGGGGGGGGCAGAGGGAAACTTTCCCCAGAGGGATTTACATTAATCGAATATTAATTTAAAATATTTAATATATCAAAAAATAGCACCAAAACCCTAAAAAAAAAAGGGATGTCGGAACCGTTAGTAAGGCTTTTCATATTTTTTTCTCCCCAACATCATGTTGAATATAAGCCCGAAGCCGCATTCGCTTTTGTATTAGCTCCTCCCCCAAATAAAAAAAACACAAAGAGATACTGACTCATCGATCACATATTGCAGGAGTTCTACCATTTTGACGACGATGGCAACACCGCGCCTTGTGGTGTGGTGCCAAATCGTGACACACACGGGCTACGACACCCATTCCGACAGGTGCCCCTTTGACTGAAACAGGAGCTCTTTCAACTGACAAAGCTCGGCACTCCTTTCGCCTCAGTTTAAAGTCTAAAAGTAATAAGCTTTTCAAAACTGAGTGTAATTGAACGTAGACAAAGTTAGCCTTCCCAGCACAATTTTATACAGGGTTAAATAACGGTATTTTTATCTGCTTTTATCCACGAACTTCGGATATCACTCTTAAAGATCTTGGAAAAAAAAACAACCTTAAAACTGAGACCTAGCCCATTCTTATTCCACTATTAGATAACTGGTCAGCGTAGAATTAACTCTTTTTTACTCATTTTTGCCTTCAGATTGTTTTCTGATCAAAGCATGTTTATTCGGGGGGTCTAAAAGATAAGATTCAGCCTTTTGTACGAGTTTCTAAAACGTTTTGAAAGTGATCGAAAAATAAACCCTAAAATCCTCTAGTAGAATCATACATCATGCACATCAAAATAACTTAACTTCAATATTTGGATAGCTTTCTTCGGTAACAAAATTGCCAAAGTAACAACTTAACGTCTCCTGATGAATGTTACTTATGATGGAACGTATTATCATGAATATTCTAGTGGTAATGCCTCCAGCAATTAAAGTTACATTCGTTCTTTGCAAAATGCAGTAACTTTTAAGATCTGAAAAATATGTCGTGGGGTGAAATCAGTAATGCTAAGGAAATAAATCGGCTCAAATTATCCATTTTAATTTAATGAGTTTCGCAGTGCATCGAAAATCTGTAGTTCCTACACAAGGGAAAATGAGAACTGTCACACAAAAAGGTTGACTCCTCTTCGCTAAAAGTATGTCTTGTAAAAATTTCCAAGAAGATCACTGCATTTTTGAGATTGTTGTATTTAGAGCGTTTTCATTATGGAGACCCCACCTGCTCTCACGACATTAGAGATTAAACGGTTAACTTTATTGTGCTCAAGTCTGGTTAATACTGTCGACAAAAAGAATAATATTCCATATCGGCAACATGTATAATGATAAATGAGTACCGTCAGTGCTGTCCGGAAACTTGTACGGAAAAATGAACATGCTTGCCAGGATGGGCCTCCTATCTGCGACCTGTAATTTCAATTTCTGACACAACCTTTGCCCGATAGTCACTGAATGCAGTATGCCCAATGCTGTGGTGATCGAAGCAACTAACCACTATGAAATTTCCGAGGTCCAATGGTTTAAATGCGCTAGTAAGGGGATGGGTGCATGGGCTCGAGCCACGCCCAGGCTCGGTGTACAGTGCTTATTAAATTGCAGTTGAATGTAACATAAAATATGTCTACCTTTTTTAGCTACCTTGGCGTTAAGGTCTGCCGTGTGCATAAATTAGGACAAACTTTGTAGTTTTTACAGGCGGAAAAGGGGTAAGACTGTCTCAAGGTACGTTAAAATGCATTGAAACTAGTAACGCCATACAGATCCGAAGGACGGTGGAGCAATTGTTTTTAGAAAAACAGTCTTCTAGCTGTCGGAACGAATCATATCAATCCAAACTAAGAACTTGAACCAGGTGCGAAATAAATTCCTTTTTTTCTGGTGAACAAACCTCTGAGAAAATTACTAATGCATCTGTTTCCACTATTCAATGCATTGGGTTTTAAACAACAATTTGACCGTTTTTGAGTAACTTTATATAGAATATTTCGCCGGCGTTTTACGCAGGGGGCATACTTTGGGGATATCCCTTTGATGGGAAGAGCCTCGAGAGAATGGCATGTAATGAATGAAAGAATCGGTTGCAAATTGCTCTTTGATCCATCTAAAGGAAATTTAGCGCCTTTAGCCGAGTACATTAAAGTAGGCACAAGGGTTTTTGGGCTGAATGCATATTTTAATGCATTGGGATGTTCAGCCATCTTCGTAAAATGCTGCGATTTTCCTCCAATGCTTCGCGGTACTGGTCCTTTGACAAGCCGTTGACCTCTCATTCATTCAATACACCGCCTTCATACTGGCCAGACACACACGGACATTGGAAGCAACTTTGAAATCCCAGATTCCTACATGACATACTAAAATATCACAGTCTCGATGTTTCCGTGCAGTACTGAATAAAGGAACAGCACATGCACACACTTGAAAATACATTGGCATTAAAGTTGAACTTATATTGTTTAGAATCCCCCCCCCTCTCGGGATGGCATGTCTTACGGGATCAGGAAGTCCAAGGATGATTTTCATTCTTCGAAGCCTGCGTTTACACAGCGCGTGCGCCTGCTACGCAAAGACATGCTTCTGCTACTGCATAATGTAGAATTCTGTCGGAAGCAATCCTCAATTTCCGAGTATCTTTGGTCGCATCCTTGACTCTGATCTCATTGGCCACGCAGCCATGACGTACCGACACGCAGTTCGTGCTGTTTGTTTGTTTGTTTTCGTCTAACAGGACTCGCAACCCTTATAAACAAAATCGGTTTCGAAACTGCTTATTTTCAACTTGTTCGCTCATGTGGTGGTAGGATTGGAGCTTTTGCAATGGAAAGCTAGCTGGCGGGTGAGTTAGTTCCTTGTGTTTTGCTCCGTGTTCGCTATGTGATTGCTAGTCACTGCACTGAAGTTCATGGAAGATTTTCATCCAATCGATATCATTCGATGCAGCTGCTAAGTGCAATGAACATGTAAGTCCTATCGACTCTTGTCTGAAAAGTTTTATTGGACATGACTTTTATTGCAGGAAAAAAATGAACGATTAATTAGCGAATTGCAATTTCTAACTCTGAAAAGATAAAAATCCTGTACTAGAATTGGCAGCCGGAGAATCACTTCAGATTCATACATTAGAACAAGGAAAGAATAGTGAAATATTTCCAGTTGTGGAAGATGGTGGAGTTGCATGTAGTCTAGTATAGTCAATATGTAAAGTCTCTGGAAGCATCCTGCCTGGTAACTGTAAAAAGCCACCTTGAAATACCCAGGTAAGAGAAAATGGAAGTTTTATACTTTTAAATTGACACGTATTTTGCAGATTTGGGAAAGTCAAGAAATTTTCTTTTCACGAAGCCTTTTCATATCATTTCAGCCCGCTCTCTATTTTTTTTTCCAAAGGAAGGGACCCGGGCAATTTTAAGAAGTCGTGAGATAGATTCCAGACCGAAACATATTGCGCAAATTCCACCTTGACAGACGAGATGGGACGCTCTTTTTGATGTCACATCTGTGCCATTTTTTATTTTGTTTTGTTTTGTTGAGCAGGGCAACTTCTGTCGAAAAGAGGGCGATTAGACACGGGTGTCTAATTTTATCTCTGGCCCCATCTCACAAATGCATTTTCGATCTACACCAATACATCATTTCTATTAATGTTCATCTTAGATTAGGCCTATCTGTATTTGAGAAAAACCTGCATATTGGCAATCATTATTTTGACCCCTTGATCCTATAAATTTTAATAGACTTAAACATATTCAACAATATAGGCCTATGTTTGTACGAGAGAAAATAAAAGAAATGTCGAATGTCAACATCATACAGCAATTTGTTCTGTACATATCAACATGTACCACGTCAAGAATATATTCCCCACGGACATTCGCATGAAATGAATAGTCATGTGTAGCCCAGGCACATACATGTATTATATTAAAATTGACTGCTTCCAGTGGTGTAACAAGACTGGCCTGTCGAGTCGATCCATAGAGCAGTTAAACTTCCCGGGGCGAAACATTGGGGAAACAGAATGCCTTAGATAAAGCGGTCAGTATATTTGTTTTACAACATCTTTGCCATAGATTCTGCTCAATGTAAGCGACAACTGATTCTTCTGATTTCAGTGCAAATGAAAAGTGTGTCTGTTTGAATAATTAATTCGTTGAACAAATGAACGGGCACTTTTTTCTGGCTACCTCTTGCTTCCAGCTCTGTGGCTCTCATAGCACTTCAAAAGGCGCACAACGAGCAACCCACATAACAGTATTTACACACAATGCCGATGGTCATTTGTATGGCTCCTTGTTTTTGTTACGGGTATTTCTTCGGGAATTCGTAGTTGTTTTGGCAGCAAAAATTAAGACAGGAAAATGGTGGATTTTATGGGACTAGCTCTCGATCAATTATGATACAAAATTTGCGGGTGTGGTGTTACAACTGAGGATATCAGATATGTCCATGTTTGAGCAGGCTGAGAGCGGTCCCAACACATTTAACGCCAACGGATTTTTCCCATCCATTAGCATAGTTAACTCCAGGCACCACGTTGGGCGTGTGTGCTTCACGCGGATCCGGATCGCGATCAGTAATCCGACATTGGCTCACTGACCCCAGCACCCACGTACTGCATAGAGTAGGCCTAAACCAGCTTTTGGATCACTGATCGAGATCAAGATCTGTGTGAAACAAACAGGTCCTACGTCAGGAAAGTTACTAGACTTGATACCAAATCGATAATTGAGTCGGTTTTTTTTCACACAGTACATGTATACGTATATATCCGCGGGGGACGTTGGTTGCCTGAGTTGCCTCGTCCCCACCTTGCGGATGGTCGACCATCCAACTACCGACTTTGAGAAATCGTTTTCAGGTTTGTAGATCCAACATAATGGTAGTCCCTAGCGAGTTCTATGACCCGCACTCTGATTGGTTCAAATTGCAGAATTGATATGAGCATCCTTAAATGCATGTATTCTAGGCCGCCATCGCATTTTGTGCAGTCCACTCGAGGAACGTTAATTGAAGTTCGCCATTTATCTTTGCACTATTACATGTAGTGATTCGCAATGAAGTTAGAGAAGATACAGATGTCGGTGGATCGTGCTTTTGAGGTACTGGGGATACACACCACAGCACCTGAGCAACTACAAAAGCTTGTAGCTTCAAGCAGCGGCAAGGATGCATTCACCAACTTACCAACAAGATTTGGCGGTTTTTCTTCGTTATGCACCGATATTTAGACGGTATGATTACACGTACCGCTTATAAACCTCGAGGGTTTGTATTCTGTGTTGAGTACCACAGCAAAGTTAATAACAAATTAATCAAATGTTTCACGTTGATACATTCTATAATAATTCATAATTGACCTGAGTATACTGATCGTTAAACATCACCTGATCTGCAAATAATGGCCCGACGTATTGAGAGGAATCCCCATTTAACTGATGGACTAAGGACTAATCCTTTCATTTACATATTGCCCTCTGCCAACTGCACATTTATTGCACTGAGCGCATTATAACCCATGCGAGAACGCATTTTGTCAAGTCGTTATAGACAAGTCGGAACTCGGCCAGTTATGCTACTTCATATTTGTCCCGAGCCGATGGATTTCGAAGGAAGTTCATGGACAAGCAAACCCGTATACGCGACTAATTATCAAATCTAGAAAGTAACCGCCGGCATTCAGACAATGCCGGTTGAATTCATGGTATATTGACTTCTGATCTTAAGGGCAGTAAAATGTAATTAAGCAGGCTTGCGTGCAAAGAAAGAGAGATCTGCAAAGAAATGGAGGAAACGAAGTGATGTGTACCATAGTTTTGGTGCACCAGGAAGTGACGTATCCGTCCATAGACTTTGTACACGATATGGCAGTTCGTAATGCAGCAACTATCCATGATACCTTAGTTGGTGATACAAGCGACGAATTTCTGATTTTTTTCAGTTGTTTTGATATCAGTAACGATCTAATGCATTATCTACGTGTCCACCTGTCCGTTAAAATTATCTTACATAACAAATATGAGGGGCCTAATCCCCCTTCGAAAAATTCCCTGATCCGCCCCCTGGTGTGGTCTTTGGTAACAGTGTTACAGCAACAACGCAACAGCCCATAAATACTAACAATATGAACAACACACAGTGTCAGTATAAACAACAACTTGTGTTTGTTTCTGTTTCTCCACATCCAAAATCTTCTTTTTTTTTTCCTAGACCAAATTTTTCAGAATGTTCATAGTTTGGGTCAAAGAATTATCCAACATTTCCCAACTCTTATGGCGACGCAAACGAAAACAAAACGGAAAAGGTATACAGAAAAATAAAACAGGACAGAAATGGTATTTTTTTATCGTACCGACTTCATCCTTGGCTTTGACATGCTGCATAATTCCCTTCTGTAAATGGTAAATAAAATATACGGAAATCCATAAAATATTTTCGTCTGCCAAAATGATATCCATTCGTTTGCTTCCACGCCAGAAGAAAAACATCCGGATGCTTTTATACGTGTTGAGTAGTTCAGTGAGGATATCACAAGGTGTTATTTGGACCAATGGTGTAACTAGATTTCACCATAGAGGAAGGACACAGGAGTTTGAGCTGCCTGGGCTCTAACATCTGGCCAATTACCGCTTTTCATACCCAGTGTGTCCATAGCCAGAGCCCAGCGAGCGCTTGCTACGCACCATCTGTTTCACAACCACGAAACCCCTCTGTACCCAATGATCACCGCCGCAATTTGTCGCTGGTAATCTGCATCCTTAAAACTTTGTGCACTGAGGTATGGGAAATTGAATATTCATACATTTGTCGGTGCTTGATATGATCTCAGAACATCAAATTTAATGCTTGCACGGTTGCTTGTATTACACCGTGTGCCCTAAATGTTCATGTGTAGTCATTGCCCTAAATGAGCGCTTTCTTCTGGAGTTAATTTGGGAATAAATAGTCCCGTTGTTTACAAGATTTTTTGCTTGTTCAAATCACCTTTATTATGGCATTGGTACAAAAGCGTATTTTACGAGACTTCATGATCAGTCCCTGTGATGAAATAGTGCATTTTGTTCCTTATGAACTGAGCTTTCTATAGTAGTAGTCAACATTTTGTTTGCAACTCTTAGCCAAATTTGTACCAAATCTTTGAAAACTGATGTATTGGACGGATAATAAATTACAAACTTTGCATGGATAATGGAACAGTGAATCAAAATTTTAAAAGTTTTTTTTCACAATGGCAAAAGTAGGTCTAACATCGGGGATTTTTCTCTCTCTATTTCCCGGTCACAAAAATAATTTGTATTTAATGGCAAGCAAAACAGTACAAGTACTACTAGGATATTACTGGCCCCGCTTGTCCGGCCAAGATGCAAGCAGTAATGGGGCATTTGGGAATGTTTTCTATTATTCGTCTGACTCGGCGGTGACGGTAATTGAACACTTTGAAGTGCCAGAGTTGCAGTTCCTTCTGTGTCCTTCCGCTGTAGTTGAGTCATTGTTCCCCCCCCCCAAAAAAAAGTTCTTTCGCACGTCCGTTTCATTATTTAAGCGGAAATACGACCTACAATAGCTAATCATGTCTTACCTGCGCACTCTGCAGTCACTATGTTTTAAAAAGGTGCCTTTTGTTTTTACTGGAACTCTACAATTATGTAGGCCAACGAAATATTTCAAAGAAGCTTGCAAGTATTGCACCGGGAAGTTAGTCCCCAGGTCCCCTTTGTGGCCAGCCACCGAGTTCGACACTGTGTTTATTGCGCTGCAAGATGATGTTAGGACAAGCTTGGCTTGTCAAAAATCATCTTAATCTGCGCACAGAGGGCGCAAGAATTGCCTCCGTGAGAATTGCCTACTATGGACATAAAATGGCGTTAGGTGAAACGCACTATGGCATACTTTAAACTAATGAATTTAGGTAAACAGTATCCATTTTGTGTCCAGCTATATGATGACACTGTTCAATGCTGTTGGCATGCATTGAAGAGCGCCACAAAAGGTGCAATAACTTGGCGTCTACCAAAGGCGGCACGTGAACGCAAAATGTATAATATGCCTTGCTGCGCGACAAATGGTGGCCAGAGACAATCCTTTATGTCCTTTTGGCAATAATGCATGTATGTGACGAATACGTCCCTGAACGAAGGGGGGTCCTTGAATGACATTGCTGATTTATCAGAGAGATAGGCAAGGACCATCTTGTCTGTTACTGTGCACGATTGTTGAAACAGGCAATAAAGCACATAAAGCCCGGTTCCTTAGGTAAACAGCGACTAATACATCTTGGCAAACATTTCAGGGGTAAAGTCGGAGTTTCCATCAACCTATGACGTTCCGGTTTCTACGATATAGGCTAATTATTCCATTCGGTAAACAGACCACAAGGTATGTGCTTTTTAACGACATGAAGACACGCGGACTATTTTGGCTTACTTCCTTCCCAGCTAAATTTTAGCCACTGTCTACGGAATTTCCACTCAGCATTTTACAACATAAATAATTCATGTTTGCCTGCAGCCTGGATGACATTATCACACGAAGCACAGTGCACCATCAGCACAGATGCATTAACGCTGAGCGTGGGGCATGAATCACTCTTCCCGGAGGGAAATTAATAACTACCGGCTTGTTAACTGCGCCTGATTAATATTACGATGAGCAATGTGAGCGGCTTGCTGGTGCGGCGTCACTAGCATCATGCCCCGTGCTTAAGGCACACGTCGTGCGTTCCTTATATGGCGGGCGGGTAATTATTTCGTGCGTCAGGACTGATAACGAGCGGCAGCGTAGTAGCAGTGCTGACGTGCACTGTGACGAGGAAGATGCGTTCTTGACGACGGGTAGTCAACCTTATCGGGCGGGAAAAAATCGAAGGGGTTTGACGTAGACTGTGACGCACAAAGGCTCGACACTGCGACACTGGCCGAGGCCTCGGCCGCGCGCTTAGCACGTCAGTGCGACCATGGTATCGCCGGCACTGCGCCACTGCTGCTCTCGGCTCGTATTGGCCGGAATATCCGGTCGGGTGACGTCTACAGGGAGCGAACCGAGGACCAGAGCTGGCCACCCTGTCCTTCCATTCTTACCAAAACCAGAAGAAACATCAAGCAGTCGTTTCATATGACCGCGATGCCATGGAGCGGACAATTGGTAGCTCTTGCCCTACTCGTGGTTTTACACTTTTGCCGACTTATGTGGAATTCGTTTACGCTGGATTGAATATCGGGACCATGTCTTGTGGAATTATATCTATATTTTTTTTCAAACAAAGCGAAACAGGTATGTCTTTTGTCTTCTGGTTTCTTTTTTAAACCCCATGCGGGAGTGAGGCAAGTGAATGAATTTTTCTTATTTGTGTCTCTTTTTTTCTAACTTTCTGGTTCGTTCACAGGTTGTTGGACTAACAAGGGATAGATCTTGGTAGGTACATGTTAGGCGCAACACTTCCTCGAGTTACAGACTCGGTATAACTTAAACTATGTAAACTATATCGGGGTTGTTCCAAAAAAAGCCCATGTTGTCATTAAGAATGAATGCTGAAATTTACCAGAGCCTAACCCTTTCCTTATTCATGCGCGCGCAATGTGGCAACATCCCCACTGAGTAGCATAATACCATTTTGGCCCACAACCGATATGGCCATAAATCAAGTTATGTTATCCAGCCTAATTATCCAATGCATTGTAAGACGTGATGTGCACTCAACTTTGAACTTTCACTCAGAAAGAAGCCTTTTTATGGTAAGTTATTGTCGTTCTACGCATTTATTTTTGCAGGCACAAATTTACTCTGTTAGAGAAAAAAATATCTCACGTCAGCATCAAGTTTTCGTGAAGTAATGTTCTGTTCAGTCAAATCCAGTAACACGCGATTAATGAGCACATTTAATTTCAAAACCATTTCGAACCTCCGCAGTAAATCAACATTTTTGTACAGAAATCTGAGACACAAATCAATGACTGCACTTTCAGATTTCATTGGTAGAAAATGTGGGGCCCTCCGAGGCAAAACTACCTGTTAGTATATGCAGCGTAACAAGACGAATTTAAACTTCCAGATGAGAACTCAGTAAACATTCGCACGTCGTGTTAAACGCATTAGACCACAGGAGTGACCTCTTTTCCACACCAGTTGTACCGACAACTCTGAGGTAACACCGCAGAGTGTTTTCTTGTACCTAAAAAATTAAAAAGCAGCGCAGCTGAGCATAGAAGATGATCGTATTGACTCTAAAATCTGCAGTTCACACGCGGCTATCAAGCATTGACTCGCGTTTCCAATGAACTGCAAACGGCATACCAATAGGCCTACAACAATAATTCCATGTCAAGCGTATCGTGAATAAAAAACATGAATCGTCATAAATTCATGATTAATGCCTCAAATGTAGCTATTTACGCTTTCCTAGTTTTGCATTTTTGGGAGTTCACAGAAATGGGAGCTGAGACATGAAGAAAAACAATGTAATTTTAGGTACCAAAAGTCACGGGAGCAAATAGTGATTACAAGAAATTTGGTTTTAAATTAAAGCATTTGCGCCTGGTCTTATTTCCAAGTCTTGATACCGTTCAAAAGCTAAAACAGTAGCTTACCAGACTCAGGGGTAACTGTAGGGCTACAAAACATCAATACTGACTTACCCGGGATAAAATGGGTACAACTGTGAGACAAGTTCTTATTAACTTCTTTTGTTTGAAATCGCAACAAGTCAATGTTTTCAGCCACAGTGAACGGTAATCTGGCTATTAATAGGTAAAGGCATTCCACAGGCTTCGTTCATACGTGCTGTAGACCCCAATCTGTTTATTGACCTTTAACAATGATAGGTTTGAATGGTGCAATGAAAATTGCCTGGGTTAAATTTAAACCCTAGTGAGGGTGAAAATTGCAACTATGTCCCGGTTGTGTCAACCCAACTTGGGGGTTAAAATGAATTTCTGGGTCATTTTGACCAAATTGTTAATATTAAACGGTATTTTGGAGAATCAACCTGGAATTAATCCAACCCCCCCCCAAAAAAAATGGGATGACAAAACCAAACTTTGGATTAAAATTTTAAACAGGGAATTTCTTAGTGTGGTCATGTTTTGCTCGTATAGTAAACGTACGGAAATGAGATTAAAATTGATTACTCACTTATGACTGAGATTCTGCGGGATTCGAAAGGGCACAATTCAATGACCTTTCCATTGCTTAAATTAAAATACTGATGAGACTCAAGACGTACAGTTTATTCGTGCGCTGGACCAATCTAAATAGTGTGCGACTGTTATCAGCTTCTGTTTCGGAAATGTTAATACCTGTATCCTCATAGCAGCCGCCCATAATGATTAGAAGTGGCGGCCTATGGCATTGCGTCGCTACACGGACGTCAGTATGTGATTAAAGCAGACAAATCGTCGGCGCTTCTGCTCTGCTCAACCCATGCCATAATGAGCTTTCTACGTCAGCTTCCCGGTTAATGCAGCTCGTGTGACGCACGCTACGACAGGCAAGGATGCTTTATTTTCAGATGCCTGCGCGCGGAGCCTGTCTTCTCACTTAATGGGGCTTGGCCCTGGAATCATCAGATATTCAGCGGCCGATGACGCGTTTGACGCGCCAGCAGCGACCTGTCCAGCAGTATATTGGTCTGGTATGTAATTACGGGAGGACAGGCTGACGTCAGAAGTAAATCAAGAGAAGCAGTTGGCCTCGGTGCTGCTTGATCAAGAGCAAGCTATATTAAGAACGGCTTTCATTCTACCGTCGATTCACGGGATAGCCGAATACGGACGCCAAATGCGGTGCTCCAGCTTTTCCTCTTGCCAAACTATCCGGGCTGCGGACCTTGCACGCAAGTACGCGGTAATTACGACCATGTGAAACAAATAGTCTGGATGCTTGAAAGAGTCTTTAAACAAACTTGAAACAATAATCTCAAGAAGATCTGCATAATATAATCAAGTGCAAATCATGTTCGTGCTTCAGTTACGAAATGGCAGTTTCTGTCTATGCACACAGAAACCTAAGGCATTTAAGATGTTATAACAGCTGGACAAAAATAACCGATTCGAAGCCTCTTGTTACAAGTGAACACAAGTGCTTTTTTTCAGAGAGTTGTTATTATCAAAAAGTAGAGCGTAAGAAAATTAAGGCAACAAACTTGAAAATGCTTTAATGCCTTCGCCGTTTGCGTGGTATACCGTCGGTTACCATGTGCAAACTGGCATACACTGTTTTTCGTTATATGCAAATGAACATCGTATGTATTCATTTCATCTTGTCGACGCCACAGTGTTTAAAAACATGAATGGAAATACAAAACGTTTGCTTCGCATCCTTATTACCAATTAAAATATTCATGGACAAAAAAGAGTAATGTTATCGTTCAGTTCACTTACAATCTACTTGACGGAAACACAGTTTATACTACCTAATCAAAACATCTTAAAAATGAACTAGCACCACATTGATGCATTGGATCAAACTCTGAAAACTACAGAAATAACAATTCCCAATTCTTATATTGTGCAACTTTTAAATTGTTCGAATTGCAACCCTTTCGTCGTTACCTTACATTGGATCGAGGTTTGAATACCACAGAATGCAGGCGTGAGCTCTCAAACGCACGGTAACTCTCAAATGGTGGCCAGGAATTTTAACAGCGCTTCAGTGAATTGGGTCGTGTATGAAAGCCTTAGATTTTCTGACACGTTGGTACTAAATTCAGTCTTTTTTATCATGGGTCATACGGATGATATAAGCACAACGTGAACGCATCTTACCTTGAAGGCGAGCCCATCGTTAAGCTGTCTCAGAGAGAACGCAAAGATTTCTGCTTTCAAAATTCGGTTTTCTCTTCCAAAAAGGTCCACACGGTCCACCAGAGAGTATTCACGTCCTGTTCATGTCCAGTTTTGCCTGCAAAATGCTCCTCAGCCAGGTCATGGACAGTCTAGAAATACTCAAGATCACTTTCGGTTTTCCACGTGGCCACCCACGCATTTATGAAACCTTTTATGTAACTGCACAATTGCTATTCATGCGATTCAGTCCTAACTATTTTTAATTCATTCATTCTACAGGAAATCGGAGCCCCCTTTTTATGCATTTCCAGAGTTAAATAAGGAATTCTACGGGAGCGGGACAATGGAGAAAGCCGTGTGCCGTCTTCTTTGGGGGAAAACCGGATGTTTGGAGGAGGAGAATCAACATGGCCAAGGGTCGTTGGATCAAAATACGAACTGTTACGCGGGAGTTGAAACTGAATATTTTGCGTTTGATTCTGGATGACGAGGGCTTCGGAGGGATTTACGAACTTCGTGATTGCAAAATATTTTCCTTCTGCTGGACAAACGTAATCGCCTGCATCATGGATTGTCTGCATTGTTTTTGTTTACCTTGGCCCACGTGGAGAGTTGAGGTAAGCCATTTACGTATATGATTTTATTTGAATTATACCAGGTAGTGGAATTCTGATACCAATACGAATGGAACAATTCCCTTAGAAACTCTGTGAACGAGAAGATGACCCAAAAGTTCTGAGGAGTTGAGGGAAACATTACGATCGTTGCAGAGGCAGCAACGGAGAGTTGCAGTGAAAATTATGTATCAAACTGGCCAAGCCAAACTATCCCAATCCCCTCAGACAAAATGTCACCTCAATTCATTTGTGGAGTTACCATTTTCATATAAACCAATCACACTCACATTCTTAAGCTTGACGTGTGCGTTCACCCAGTGGGTCGAGGAGGCATGTAACGCTCACGTACAACCTGTCCGCGAGCGTTGGGGCAATAACATTTATGCTTCCAAATCTGGTTGCCAATTCACATTATAGACAAACCATCAGAAAACACGAGCACCGATCTCTCTCATACGATACAGTCTTACAGAATTTAGATATATGTACAGAGCCAGTCACTATCACTTTAAACAGAGCTTGGTGTTTGTTGCAAGTTCCAAGAGTGTAGAACGTGGGATTGGTTCCCTGTACGGTGGAGGATTTTTAGGGAATTCAGCAAGGTTCTTAACAACAAAGCAAAGGAAGCCAGGGTTAAACTTGCTTTAAATTTACCTCCTAAGTGGGCCCTGACATGGGTGTCGCAAGTTGGGGTTAAGGTGGTTTGAAAGATTGGAAAATATTTACAAAAAGGGGGGGGGTTGAAAGAAATAAAAAATAGCTGAAAGGGAATAAAGATCATCAATTTGCTTAAAAGAAACCCTCAAAATTACCCACTCCAGTCCATAATTGTTCATCGTTTTTGTAGCTTCAGGCTGCTTTGACTCCTGAAAATTCACCTCCCCTGAAAAAGTGGTCACACCCCCCCCTCAAAAAAGGCGACGCCCATAAACCCCAATGCAGAGACTGTGCAAGTTGGTAATCGCATGGGGCAATGTCTCGAGCGGTTTCTAATTTCCGGTTGGTCTCTCTGTTAATTTACAAGAAAGAGAGCACAGGGTAAGGATTTATTTCATGTTTTACTGTTTCGAAAGGAGAGTTACATTGGCTTGAATACCTTCCTACATATTTTGAAGTTATTTATAATAAGAACACTTATAATGCGCCGATATCCGCCACAGTTGTGCATTACTGCACAGTTAATGATTGATATTATCTCAACTGGCCAGCGATAGATTTTCTTTTATTTGAATTTCAATCAGTTTTGATACAGCATTTGTATTGAACAAAAGATTCCAAGGACACTTTCACTCTAAAACCGCCCGAGTCAGATTGACCCGTTATGTGGGTCCTATTGGGCTTGACCCTTTCCCAGGTCAAAAGATGGCTCAAAAATGACCTGAAAAAGCTCAAGTGACCCAGGAGAGGGTCGGGCCTCGCTAGACCCGGATTCTAGGTCAGTCTTACCTGGGATACTGTAGAATGTACAATATCCTATTTTGGTACAAACCTGGTGGTAACTTTAAAGGAGGGGGTCCATATTTTGTACTTTAATGTTTTGTGAAACAGTTTCCACCAAGAGAAAACTTCTGACCCATATTGGACTCTTCTATTCGATTTTTGGTTGCCGAAGAAATCCTCACTTGGAGTATGATCGAAAAGATGGGTAAATGAAACTCTTCAATAAACCCTCATGCTTGTTGTAACTTTTTTCGATCACTGATGTTTTTAAAACCCGAAAAAGTCGATCAAACACGATCAAATCTCACCAAGACTACTTAAAATTAAAGGGAGAGCATTTTTTACTAACAAATATCTTCCTCCGTACTTCATCCAGTTCAGGAATGATTTGTTCAAGAATAAGCAAACTATTGGAACCTGTCTGGTAACCAACTTTGAGTGGCACGGGCACACCCCTTTGGACCCTTTTGATCCTTGGACCCCTGGATTGAACGTCATCATTAAGCGGCCCCTCTTTAGCATTCCCCGGTTGCTCACATCTCAAAGCTCCAGGGTCCCTCCGGATGACGTCAGATAAACGTCATAGCTGCCCGATAATGAGTCTGTGTTTCCGTATTTGGCAGCGACCGGACTTAGCTGAGCTGTCTCTCTGACGTCAAGCAGACCCTGTAAACCGTACAACCGGGGGACGTACCACTGTCGCGCCTTACGAGTCTATACCCCACTATGGGAGAAATCGTCAAAATGCACGCGTTGGGACCACCAGTCTGAAAGCAAGTCTGACGACGCTGGCTTTCATTGTTTTCATCGTACACGCATTGCGGCACGTCAGACACAATTCGTTCACACGAATTCGGCTCACTAAACAGTGTCGGTGAAAGAGACACCGGGTTCTCTTGCGGGCCAACACCACCATTTGTTAGCATCTTGAGACAAAAGAGTAAACTTTGCGGTTCTCGGGCTCTGTGGACCTTGGATTGCATTGGATATTATGCTTTCTGTCCACCAACGCATCAAGCAACATTGTGGTACGTTCTGTCAAACTTTGTTTACATACCTTTCCTCATTCGTTTCATTTTTGGCTGTCCTGTTGCTTAATGAAAAAGTTCTCGCTTAATAGTCAAGAGAGAGATGGGACGGCTTCCTCTCGAAACTTTGATGCATTGTTTCAAAACAACTGTTCACGCACGCTTAATTACTTAGTAAGAAGTCCAAGCAATCTGCACGAAACCTTACACTCCGCACGTAGGAAACTTTCTAGGGTCCGACTCCCTCTGCTTAGTCAGAATACTTACCTAATGCGAATGAAGCGCTGGATTATTCAAGCACTGATCCTTAACTTCCTCGCGCTGGGGGCGCCAGTTTGACATTTACCTGTGGATAGATTCCTTAAGCCATTTCAGCTCTTGTGTAACGTCCTCAGGAAACAGGGGAACAAACAAACAAACAAACAAAAAGTGTCCAAAACAACCATCTGTGACGAAATTATAAAACCCTGTCATAACCTTCCGTGCAACGCTGCCGATAGCTCACGAAATAATGCACTTTGATCAATGCTTGAATTGTCATACTGAAAAATTCCATTTTTTTTGCTTCTATATACGAATTTTATTTATATTTACAAACAGTGAGTGTTGTTTTTTTTTCAACGTTATTTCGGTGAAAGAAGTTAAGTGGTGAACACCTTACCTAGTGTTACAAACACGTCTTGGAAACTTAATCTGTACGTGCTGGCAATGTACAGCATACCAAGAACGTGTTCTTAAGCTCTCAAAAGCGAGAGTCGCAACAGTTGAAAATTACGAAATAAACAATACTGACGCTTTAAGTCGGGTCATTTCAACCCATATGTACAAATGGATTGCAATTACTCAATTAACATGCAAATCGGACGTCCTTGCCCGGTGTTCCTGACCAATACAGTAAACTTTAATCCATCTCAGTGGCGTATCCAGAAGGGGTAGTTTTGAATTCTTAAAAGGAACTGTAAGCAGCAGTATTATTAAAAACAGCACTTCCACCTTAGGGGCTGAGGATTCTTGTATGGGTGAAACAATTTGACACTCGTTGGAAGGGGGGGGTGGGGTTGCCCGCTGGACCCACGACCTGGACACGCCACTGATTCAGCCCTAAGTTTCGAACTCCGAATACAATTATTAGATTTTCGGGGGTGGAGGGACTTCTTGTGTAAGTTTTTCCCTGTCAAGGTGTTACACTGAGTATGGTATTTGGTGTTCAGTGGGAGTGCACTGTTAACTTGGGAGGGCTTGGTGGATTGACTTTGTATTTGCCAGTCTAAAATGTTTGCAGACATTCGGCGCTGTTAGTATTCACATCGTGTTACATCACGTGTTGTTTGATGAACATCATGTTTGTGAGGATCGCTGAAATCCACACTCCCATCGGTTAAGGATTTTTGAGAAATGATTTGGCGTCGAAGGTTTTTTTCGGGGGGGGGGGTTAAAATCCGGTAAAGTAAACAGCATCGTCAGCATGCTTTGTCTGCGAACGGGCGTCGTGATACGACTCCCAGGAGACAAAGTTCATTCATAAAAAGCATACGTAATAGCCAGCTATCGCGTGGGTGGGACGCACAGGCGCACGCAGCACTCAGCCACCCATACATGTAAAGAACCAGTGTTACAGTGAATTAGGCGCGCAATTAACAAGTTGTTTTCAGACAACTTTTGGTAAATATTTTCTTCATTAGATCAGTCAGAATATGACACCAGGTTTTCTTTTCTTTTCTTTTTTTTTTGAAGAAGGCACACCCCACGAACCCAGCCGAACTTTAACGGATAACTGAGAGACTCCCTCTTGACGTAAATCAAAGCCAGGCATCAAAACAAAATTCCTACCACGTGGTCCGTACAATGCTACAATGAAATAGATACTCCAGCAAACAATATTTTTCGTGCTTAGGGTATTCCTCCTCCAAAACAATTCTTGAGCTACAGCTTGCTTAGTAGCTCAATAAATATTTGTAAACTTCAATTTAAGTAATCCTTTAGAAGTATTTCGAAATGATTCTGCACGCTAGAGTTTGTCGGTTGAAAAGGTGCAATGTACTTCCATGGGCGTATGGCATTACTTTACACTTGTTAGGGCAAGGACATTTTTTTGTTAAGCAACAAGTTAAATAATCTTCAGTTAAAGTATACAAACAATCTTTCATAACCGAAGATGCATTTCTTAGCCATTCTCTTTATTCCGGGAATCTGGACTTAAACCGAAGCGGAAATAGCTCTCATCGACTTACATTCTGTTCTTGAGCGTTGCACTGAACTGAATAATATCAGCACCGAACGAATCACTGGAGAAAGCCTACGCTCACTGCATGCATAATTAAACGAAGTATGTATACTAAGAAAGCCGCCGCGTGAAAAACAACAGACTGTGCTAGTTACAGTGACTGCTAGACGGTCAATATTTACTGTTGGATTTCTTGAAACCTGCGTTACGTCGATAACACCAAAAAAGAATTAAAATACGCCTATAACGCTGTATTATCATGCAGTTTGATTTTATAATCAGAGATATGGATTTATCTTGTCCCTAAACAGACAGTGTCACGTCAGGTAAAGGTATCACTTTGATAAAAATGCCTCTCAATTGGCTGCTGCGAAGAGTTGATTTCAAGCCCAGACACATGGCATGCATAGCATGCCTTGGCCAACCACGATACCCTTACTGTTTCTCTCTAGTAAATTGTCGCCTAATTTGCCAAGCTGCTCCTCCTAAAAATATCGCGACACAAGCCTGCTCCGAGCATACAGCAGCATTGCCCCTGTACATGAGCGTTTGATGTCTTCTTCACATGAAGAAAAATTAATCAGACGATAATCAGGTCATGGAGTACGCCCTTGGATTGGTCGGTGGCTCCCATTGACGTTGCTAGCTATATGCTAATAATATGCTAATCACCTGTCTGTTTGCTTTCCCTGCTGAATAAATTAAACGATTCGCGGGGAGCGTGCGTATGACGTCACACGTCGATGAGGCTCTATTCGCGTGTTGAGCAACCATGGGCAAAGGAAATTTAGGCGCCGCTGATTGGTCAGTGCCGAATTTATGGTATGCATGACGAAAATCTATGACGAAAATGTAGATTTGTGACGTCGTTAACGACTGCGATCTGGCATTCGCGGCATATACTCATATACCTGAGTTCATTGAATTCAGCGTGGCATTGTGTGTTGAGCGGATCGGACGGAGATGAGGGTTAGCTAGCTGTCTGCGGCGTGTCGGCTAGGAGTTACTGGGAAACACACGGCGGCAAGCCTATATCTCGACGCTCACTGCGAAGCATAGGGGATACGCGGCCAGTGCATTGAGCCCGGTTTATGCTATCATCCGGAGCCTGACAAAACAGGGTAACGACAAGGATCCGGGAACTTTTGGTGACTGAATACAGTGCCGTCAAAGTGGACCCTGCAAGAAATACGCTGTCGGGTGAGTCTTGTTAAGATTTGCAGCTTCGTTTCAATAAGTAACAATAAGATCGGCAAATTTCATGGCATTTTGAAAAAAGAAAGAGATACAAAGCTTCCAGTATTCAAATTGAAAAGTAGAGGCGCGCAAATTTAGTTCAGTTAGTGGAATCGCGACTTTTTAGCCCGTGCATCTCGTTCAGAAAATTCAAGAGTTGTTTCTGTGCTAGGTATATGAAACCACACGCTCCAGTGATTTTGTAGAAAAGTACTTGGAAACTTTTTCATCGGTGAACCCTTCGGCGATGGGTTGCATACTTTCCTAGGGTTCTCTAAAACAAAAAATAATGTTTTCACTTTAAAACTCACTAGTTTTTTTTTTACTAAAATCCGCGGATACATATACTGGTCTGATGTTTCTTCAAATTAAAAAAAAAATGAAATCAAGTAATAAGAAAATTCATTCATGGGAAAACTCCTCAAGCGGGTCATACAAAGTTCTTTCGCCTGAACAAGGCATTAGTAGCTACTTATTATGCCTTTCTTGGATTCGAAATTCACGTTGCGGGTAAATCTTCACTTACTTAGAAATGGATTCACCTTTCTTGTTTCTTATGAATATATTGTGTAGTTGCCAACTTTAAGCTCAGTGCTCTTGGTACCATCGGCTTTTCCCTGTGCAAAGTGTCTGTGGACGCTAAGCTCGTGGGCTGACTGTAGCCTTGTTAAACCATGAGCGGTAGATTTGTTTCAACATCTCTAAACTCCAACATTGTCAGAAATGCTCAAAATCTATGATTCAATGAGGCTACGGACGCTGGCTGGCTTGTGGGCAAACTACAGAGCACAATTCGCAAGAGTAGTGACAACGTCGGTTAATCAGCCGGTAACAAGGATATGCTTTTACAATGTTGAGTTCAAACGGTAAACGTTTTTTCTGTTTGTGTTTTTTTTATGGAAAAAAATACGAAATGTTAATCGCAATGAACGAGTCGAACTGAAACGTACGATTTTAGCTTTCTTTTTAGAGCCAAATAACAAATCGACATGGTACGTTTTCCTGAAATGATGTTTGATTTTGACAAGCTAGTTTGTCAGATGCAACATGCTGAATTCGAATTTATCACTCGAATAACAACTGTCTACAAATGTACTCACTCTTAAAAAATAAGCAGTTAAGATTGTTTTTTAATTAACAATGTCAGACTTTTTTAAACCTTTTTGAAGACTGGTGAAATTTTCTGACGAAAGAGAAGTTTAAATCAAAGAGTCCAAGAAAAAAACTACTTGATTCCAACTCCTGCTGCAAATTTGATACTTGCTTCAACAAAAAGTTGACAAATGCGCAATCATAAACATAAATAAATATTTGGAGCACTTGAAATACGTGTAGGCAATCAGCTGTACAAACGGTCGTCCTGCGGAGAGGCATTACGTGGCCCCTGGTCGGACCACAGCGGTCAAAGATGACTGGTATGCTAGTGTTATTTCTCGAGCTTATTTGTAATTGGGATATCAAAACCACATTTGCTATGTCGACGATACAAATCACCGAATTACTAATGTTTAAGGCTTTGTGAGAAGAATAATACACCAATAAATGAGAAATTCTTTCGTACTTATCTTATAAAGATGTCACAGCGTGATGGCGCTAAGAGAGTATCTGTATTTTTCTCTTGTCCGAAATTTCCACATAAATCATATTCACAGTAGGCGCGCGGTGTCTTGCAGGGCAACGTGCACAAGGGCCTATCGGCATTAATGCATGCACCCAGCGCATACTCAGTGTGTTCTATTTTCGTCCGCGGTAGTTAGGTGATAACGTTTTCCGCAGTCTAAAAGGAGGAGAGAATTTGACGTCAGAGCTCACCGGCCCCTGGAGTGTTCGGATGACGTAGGCGGGGGCAACGGTTTTATAGCTTGGCGCGACGACCTGCACAATGATCATATAAGCGGCGAAGGAATTAGCCAAGGAACCGGCCGCGGCAGTGCAAAGCGATCACACTCAGTAAGGTCGCTACGGGAACCGTGGTTAACATTTTGTACTTCCTAATTGGAATCCAATTTGTAAATGATAACTACGCTTTTTTAAAATCTTATTTAGTCACTGGAGTTTACGTTGCTCTTTGAAGCGGTTCCGCTAATGCCTGCGAGAGTTTGATGTTTCATTTGTTTCTACTTCCGGGACGCGCAGTTTATATTTTCGATCTCGAAAATCATCATCTTTACCTCACCAAGGTAAAGAGTCATTCAACTGGAGAATTTAAAATTTTCAATAACTATTCTTGTGACGTCAAAAAGCATTTCCTGTAAAGAAAAATCTCAAATAACCAAAAGTAATGGACCCTTGCAGTGTTTGTCACTGCACAGTCTAGCGCTGAACAATACCAGTTCGGCCGATTGCCCGCGAATACAAATTTGTGCACGGTGCAGTTCCGGAAATCGAGTTTATGTTGACGCGTACTATGCGTTTCTATTGTTGTTCGTGACCTGATTTATACAGCAGTTGTACCCTCGTTCATGTATAGCAACAGCAAATTAAAAATAGCTCTACAGTGCAGCCGAGTCGCTCAAGCGAAAACGTTTACAGCCTTGAGTTGCTAAGAATGGAAGCCGTTTCAGGTGTTCCGAGAATTATACAGTGATGTGTTACACAGCAGGGCACAAGAACAGTTTGAGGCTTAACGAATGACGTAGGGTGACGTGATAGCAACTTTTCTCAGAGGGTGCAGGGACTCAAAATTGACTGACCGAGGTGACATTTCGACTGAAATAGAATTGATCAAAGCCCCTTTTTGCAAACGCGTTTGAAATAACATTGCAAAGAATCGCGTTTATTTTTTAGTTCGTTGAAGAAGTGAAGCCTTCCTACCGTAAACTCACACTGATATGGCACCATATAGACTCGCACCGGAAGAAGGACATGTTGTCGGTGCCCACCAGACTTTGTGCGGTGTTCATAGCAGCCGCGAGAAGAACTTGATTACTAGTATGAACATAGATGCATAAATTCCCGTAACGAGTCGCCTGCATCGATTATGTAATCGCAGGTATAGGCGCCAACGGAAAGTAAGGCCACTTTCAATGTGGCTAGGGCCGCTCTAACAGGCGTATGGCTCATTGTCGGCCGCAGCCAGTTTGGACACAGCAGCCTAAAATTCGTGAACTGTACACGCGCGACTTCAGAAAGCTGGGCGTTTGAAAGAACAGAAATCCGCATGAACATTTTTTCCGTAGCCCAACTCATGAAAATTTGAATCGCCTTCAAATATGGCCTAATGTGGACAGACCTTCACCTCTCTTCGCGTTATCTTTTCTCAGAATACTGTATTTCCTTTTCAAAAACGAAATCTCTTCTATTCACAACTTTCACACTGAGCCATATACATGTACTTTAGGTGAACTACCGGTACCGAGCGCGTCCTAGATCAACAAATTCCCCCGTCCTTTTTCTGACAAGTGATCTTCGCTCCGCCCCTCCCTTTGTCCCGCTCTAATCCAGAATCGGAAACAGACCCCAGCTGGAGTCTGCGCTGGGGCTATTTTCGTCATGGCACCGTGAGTTCCCCGAATGGAGGAATTGGATGGCTGCACTCGACGTCATCAAAGCTAGATATACATGGCCCTATCGCTCGCCGGGCCCAGTTTGCTCGCGACTACCACTGGAATTATGTCCGTCTCCGAATGTACGTATTCTGCGCGTGCTTTGTGCTGTGCGTTGGTTGCAATGCAACTCTACACTCCTTTAATTTTTGTTTTCAGCATTGCGATATGAGGTTTCCAAAGTAATGTTTTTGGAAACGTGCTTACAATTTCTATGACTTTTTCTCCCCCACCTGGTACGCTTCTCCAGGTTGGCTGCGCTACAGGCAGACAGTGCTACGGGCTACTGAACAATCCTCCACCAGATTTGACGGGAACATCCAACGCAGAATGATGCTGGTTGGCCCGGCTACGGCGACGACTTACCCGATGCATTCACAGGCAGGTCCGTCCATACTAAACGTGGATTTCGCCGACATCTTTGACTATCTCCAAGGTGCATGATTGTTCATTGTTTTTAAGTAGCTTCGTAGTTGTCCAAATTTGTCTTTGTCTCCTCCCAACCTGACCACATCACCACCCAACTATTTTAATCATAACATGTTTTGCGTTGGGCTTGACAATGTGTTTAATTACTGTTCGTGCCACTCACCGATTTAATCAAATCCCCCATTGTCGTGTGTTTCTCAGTTTTCTTTTGCGAACAGTGAGGTGTGATCACAGTTTATCTGGCATGTTCATTGCTACCAAAAAAAACCTGCTTTTGATGGTAACATATAACGTGCCATATGCTGCACTGATCCCTGTCTATCCTGCACCTATAAGCGTGTGTTGTTTTGTGTTGCGATAAACCATCGCATTCACGTCAACTGCTAACCGTCTCAGTCACGAGAATTTTCCTATTTTCAGCATGTTGCCACCATTTCGAGCATTTTGGTCAGGAAAGCTGCTCTCTTTCATTTTAAGCTGCGTGTTTATGATGACGTGTGCTTGTGGCAAAAGGGCGAAGCACTTCTTTGTCAATGAAACGGCCTGCCTTACCTTAGCAGTATCTATGGAATAACATAATTTAAATTACCAAAGTTTACATGAAATGTTTTAATTTTAACAGCCATGCTAATATTCCAGTAAAGTATGCAATCATAATTTATTCAACTTATTCTGCCCTTTCCAGATTTTTCCAGTGACATTTTGTTTTATATGCCAAGGGTAACTTCGCAGATGTAAATTTTTATAGTCGGTTGCCTTTCCCATTTCCCCCTGTTCATCATAGAGTCTGCAGATCCAAGTTCAGACACCCCGTGTACTTGTGGTGTTCAAGTGGACGCGGAGACTAGTCAGGGTCTGTCGAGTCCGCTGAGCCAGACAAGCAGTACCGGAGTACAGGATTCCCCGCTGCCACAGCCCCAACAAGCTGGTCCTCCACGGACCGCCATGCCGTCCTACGTTGGCAAGATAGAGGTGATGCCCGCTGGATTTACCCCATCCGAAGCCGCTTTCCAAGCCACCTACGAGACCGGCAACTTACCTCTGCCCAGTTTTCAGGAGACCTACGGGAATTTTCTCAGCTTTGCGCTGGACCGATCACCGTACGGCGAAGACAGTGAATACGCCTCACTCACACCGCTTGGCGGCACCTCTGCTGACGGAATGGAATTTCCATCTATGGCCGACGCCAATCAGAACTTGGCCAACTCCACTATGTTGCCGGTCACGTCATCGTATAATGCTACCGAAACAGAGACATACCATCACCCCCAACAGCAGCAGCACCACTCACAACAACCACAGAATCAGTACAGCAGTCATCAGCAGCGAATCAGCCCCAGGACGTGCTCTGTCAGCTCACCGGTCTATACATCAGCTCCACAGCCGGCTACTTTCCAGTACAGCCTTTCCCAAGCCGACACCCAACCGTCCTTCTCCGGTCTAGGCAGTGTCAACTTTCCCCGGGATCCGATCCCCCCACAGCCACCGGCCCAGTCCTACAGTGGGTACACCGGCAGTGGGCCGGGCGTGTCAGGCGGTGTTCCGGAGCCTCCCCGCAGCCTGGGTTCCTTCCCATCCGCCACGCCGCAGGGATGGGCGAGTGAGCTGGGGAATGTGGGCGATGAGTTGGGAATGCCGCCGCACACCGTGCCCGCGCCGCACCGCTCCGCTGCCGTCATGCACTCAGAACTTTCCACCCCGCGCTACGATAACCTGGACATCAAGCCACTCCCAATACCGTACCCATCCGTGTCCATGGGTGCCAGCATGAACCCACCACCACCACCGCCGTCCTGTAGCAACCCAGGACAGGCTGCCATGCACATGGGATCGTCACTCCGCGGGAGGAAACCCAACCCAATCCAGCTACCGATCTGCACGGAAGCATCGGCCGGTCTACCCAGCACGAGCCACCACCATCACCACCACTCCAAGAACTCACCGGGACACGAGGGCATGCTGTGTGCCGTGTGTGGTGACAGTGCCGCCTGCCAACACTACGGAGTCCGGACCTGTGAGGGCTGCAAAGGGTTTTTCAAGGTAAATTATGAGGACAAATTAAGAATTTTAAAAGTTTTAAAAAGTTTCACGCCATTAAGTACACTTTTAAATGGTTACATTAACATTTGAAAAGCTCAATGGCAGCGAAAACCAAAACATGAACACTGTTTTTAACACAATAGAATGAAATAAATTAACCAAAAATTCAACATAACTATTATTTTTCTTCCTCTATTATCACAGCGTACTGTCCAGAAAAATGCTAAGTACGTCTGCCTTGCCACGAAAAATTGCACCGTTGATAAGCGTCGTCGGAACCGGTGTCAGTACTGCAGGTATCAGAAATGCCTCGCCGTCGGAATGGTCAAAGAAGGTGAGAAGGCCCTACTTCTGTCTCCCAGTTTTTATTTACATTTTGTTTCGTTTTTGGGCTGCAGGGTTCAGAAAGATAAACCGATGATCAATAAAGGAAATGAATGATCAATAAGCGAACAAAAAATAAATCTCGAATTTCATTACTTTCACGAAGGGCAACAAACCTCTCAAGAATTTTTTGAAGTTTCAAAGGTTTACAGCAACATAAAATTGACATCTATGAAAAAAGTTATCAATTTTTATACATCTCGGAATTCGTGTCAAACCCCAACTGTTTCATAATCTAACCCGTCATCAGTTCATAACTAACAGTATCGTGCCCTTTTGGGGGGCAAAATTATCAAACTGATACTGTTTGGTTAGTTCATCACAGAAGAAAAACAAAGTTGTCTCTTCTCTACAGTGGTTCGAACAGCGAGTTTGAAGGGACGCCGCGGCAGACTGCCAACAAAGCAACGACCCTCCCATGACGTGTCGCCGCCCTCACCACCTGTTAGTCTCATCACGGCTCTGGTCAGGGCGCACGTCGATGCGTCGCCTGCTAAAGCCAATCTTAACTACGATCAGGTGTGTATTAATATTAATGTCGGTGAGAATTTGGCAAATGGTGTCATCCCAATTATTGTTAGTTTCCAGTTGACTAGGTTGTTTCAAGTTGAATTGATTGAAATTAAGGCTTTGTGGTGGTGCGAGTGCTTTTTTTATCATATTATCATTTATTTCTCATTAGATAAGATTGCCAATATGTTATTGTGTAATGATATAAAATATCATAATATCACCCTTTCTCTCCAATAATTTATTTTTCTAAATTCACCCTTTTGGTTACACTGACAGTTCCAGTTGCCAGACGTCAGCACCAGCCCGCCCTCTACGACAGACCAGCTGAAGCAGTTCTACGAGAATTTCTGCTCGTCCATCGAGGTCCTGCGGGCCTGGGCGCGCAAGGTGCCAGGCTTCAGCGAGCTATGCGAGGAGGATCAGGAGCTGCTCTTCCAGTCGTCCTGTCTGGAGCTGTTCGTACTCAAGATGGCTTACAGGTGCATACAGCCATTTGTTTGTTTGTTTGCCAGTCACATGAGCTCTTCACTGACCCACTGGAGACACAGAACCATTGGATGACAGTGATGCCACAACAGGACCGACGCATGGCGGGCAGTGTTTCAAACCGTTTCAGTTGGCTTGCAAAACGAAACACAGTCGAATTGCCCATAGAGGAGCACACTGCGCGTGACCGTAAGAGATTCTGAAATATCCAGTTGGCTAATTTTATTTCTTTTCTCAACAGACTTAACCAGAATGACAACCTGGTAATCTTCTGCAATGGCAACGCCTTGCATCCACAGCAGTGTGAGCGAGGCTTTGGGGAATGGCTCGAAGACATCCGTGCCTTCTCCAAGGTCCTGTCTACTCTGGAAGTCGATATATCAACGTTTGCCTGCCTCTCTGCTCTAGTCCTGGTAACTGGTAAGTTGAAACTCCACAAGTCAGTTGAGTGGATTGAGGCCAGCGTGCATGCATGGCAAGCGCAAAAATGCATTATATTTTTGCTGTAAAGAAGAATCGACAGATTAATGGTTAAATTGCCATAAATCTCAAAACTTATGGCGGGGGAAGGGTTGAAAATAGGCCTCGGACTCAAATGATCTCCTCACTTGCAAAATCAAATTAGACATTACGTGCGACTTCAGGCTGTGAGGGTTTCCTTCGTCAAAGTTTCAAGTGCTTATTCTCAGTTTCTGCTTCTTTATCTCCCATTTTCCCTCTCTCACATTAGAGCGACATGGAACGAAAGACCCCGCCAAAGTCAGCCAACTGCAGAACCGCATCATTGGCTGTCTCAACGACCACGTGACCTTCAACACCTCCGCGCCCAATCGGGCAAACTTCCTCTCTCGCATCCTTCTGCAGTTGCCCGAACTGCGTGTGCTCAGCCAGAAGGGTCTGCAGAGGCTCTACTCGCTCAAGGTAGAGGGCGCTGTCCAAGCTCCCCAACTGGTAGAGAAAATGTTTCAGCCCAATTTACCTTACTGAATTTCGTCCTCACCAAGAAAACTAGTATTCATCCAAGTGCTTAATGTTATGTATAAATAGGTACCTACTTACACACCTACAGACTTGTCAAAGCACACACTCAAAAATCAATCCGATCAAAAGTACTTAAAATTACAAAACATTATGAAGAACTGTCAAAAGATCTTAGTATACATTTTTTTATATTTGGCATCCAGCTGTCGGCAATCTGTTGTATTAATATTTTTGAGTCAACCAAAAAACATCAGATTTGTAATGAAGCGAAAACTAGCTGTGTAAATACTAGACGGGAGCGACTCCATTGAATGGAATTCCAAACATCCATCGTACTTATAATGCTGTGGTCGTTTCAGAAACTGGCTTTTTCGGCAGCTGAGTTGAAACATTTTTTGGGGGGTGTTTATTTATTTGTTGTTTGTTTTTTGTTGAATTAAGAGAAAAAAAGTGCCTGAATTACAAAGGCAGGTATACCTACAGAGATACATGTATATTTCTGAATTCCAGATGAATGCAATCTCTGTTTGATGGAATTAAAAGTTGTGATTTTAAGCCTCTTTTCTTAACAACAGTGACAAATCGAAGCGTTTGGGCCATTCAGATGTGATTAAAGTTTCCATACCAAATTTGAACTGTGACATTATTATGCAGCTACTGTGTTATTATTTAGGCGAATGAGCATGAACTGTGAAGCTCACTGTTTGTTCCCATACTTTTCAGCCTTTAGAATTATTTTACAATGCATTTAAACTGACCTACTAATGCTGCGTTGGCTGAATTTTTACTGTGTAGTACGTTCGGGAAAAGTAGTGAAGTCATTACTTGGTACGAAGATGTAAGGCAAGAAATGGATGATGAAGTTAGCACACGTTCCAATGTGTCGTCTGACTACCAGTGCTAAAGTGTGGCGAAACACCACAGCTCCTAAACTGCCAATCGCCGTGTACAAAAATATCTTTTCAAACGTATGACGTCATGTGCGTCATTACACCGATGCCATCGACTGTAATTATGTTTCTATGAAAAATGTGTAAATTGAACTTCACCGAAACTCTTAATGTCGCACCAAGTGTTAAGCCTATGTGTGAAGTGTTTTGTCCGCACTGAAACGTATCTCACCACATGAAATTAAATGTCTAACATTTTCTAAGTGTTTTTAAAAGAAGTGAAACTGGAATTATAGGTTCATAATTTATTCTGTAAAGTGTTGTCATAAGACTAAATTACTTACGTAACTTTGGATATGGTTTTACCAACGCACCACCAACGAACTATTTATCTTGTCATGTATTTAAATATTCAGATATTTCTGCACTGATTTTGATACGGCGTTGTCATAGAAACATATAGCTGTGGGTTGTACCCCCTCCATCCCCTTTTCACTTCACAGGTTTATTTGGGGTTATTTTAACTGTCGCGTCTCTGAAGGTGTGTTATGTGCAAAATCAGTTGGTTGGCAGTCTTTCAGACAGAATTAGTTCACAATATATTACAACCCTCTCATCACCTTGTTCACAACTTATCCGCACAGTTTCTCGCAGTTATGCTTACTATCCGAGCGACTCTTGTTTCATTGTTTTCACATTTATATTTAAAAACTTGCAACTACAGTAAGCAGGGTGTTAATTTTGTACATATTAAAGAATTAACATTATTTTACATGTACATTATGTAACATAACGCAGCCAGTACCTTGGCTTGCTCTGTTGGCAATTTTTTTTAGAAGCAACTGTGACATTGATTATGAAAATGATAGGAATGTTTTGCAAAATTTGGGTGTTTGTCTGTTCGACGTGGATGTACATTCGTTCGATAGAGTTTCTATTTACCAATTAGGGGTAGTTTACGATCAGACGGTTTGATGAGAGGGGCACGAACCTCGTTCCTGACGAGTTGAATTTCGATGTATTATTTTAAATGTCATTGTCATTTTATACAGTGGAGACGTGAAAACTTATAGAAGTACGTTGTGGAAGTGTAAAGTATGATTTTGGTGTTACGTACCCAGTACCCCCCCCCCCAAAGTACCACCAGTAATCCTGAACTGAGTTTTATTTGGATTCAATATCGGTGCTATCTTGCCAAGTGTATTTCGTACTTTTTTTTCATTTCATTTCGTTGAAAAACAAAACGTATATTCGTATTTTAGACAGATAGGCGGATAGTGTGCGAACACGATCGCCACGTGCTGATCACTATCTCCCTTCGGTCGGGTTGTGGTTCGACGGCAAAGTAGTGTTTGTGGGTATTCGTTTAAAGATTGTATTCCCCATGTGGCCAAGCTAACACCTTCCCCTTTTCAGTGTAACATGTACTGACTACAAGAGATTTTATATATAAATGTTCCTCTAACACTTGAATAAAACAGAAACGAAAATGTACATTAAGTGTTCTTTTTTTTCGTCTGCGCGTTCCATCAGTTTCTAGAACTGATTTTCAACTAACCTTTACAGCTTGATGCCTCTAAAAAACATAAAACGCAACAAAACTTTCTTTACAGACTTGCCCTTTCCGTTGTAAATACTGAAAAGAAATCTTTTGTGATTAAGTAAACTCTTCGAAAAACACACCCAGGAGTGACGTCAAAGCATTACACTATTCCTGACAAAGCTTTCACTTTAAGTAACATCCAAGCACGCTCTGACAGGACAAAAGTTTTGAGACCAATGAATTTAAACCGTCTTTAACCTTCCAGGACCAGCTCAACCTCTGGGCTGCTACCGGCTTCCGTACAGTTTGCAATCGTAACGCCCTGCATTGGGATGTATCCACGCGCCTTTGAAAAGAATGTCAAAGTAATGAAATGTAGATTTTTTTAAAAAATGCAACCCTGAGAAATGGCTCCTGGCGTTAGAGCTGAGGGGGCAAATTAAATTTTAGATGAGATCAAAGCTGCAGACGTGGATGTACTACTTTGCTCTCTGGTTAGCAGCATCCATAGAGCGTCAACGTTGGGTAGCATTTGCCGGGATATGTGCCAGTCCGCCGCAGAGTTTTATTTGCTTGGAATTTCAAATAGCTCCGGAATTTAAGTAGACTTTTAGACGGGCAACATTCGAACTTGTCCATCGTTTGAATGAGTTTGTCGTCCCTCCACAACAAAGTACATGTATTTTTATTTCTCAAGATCGGACTGACGGAACAGGGAACAATTGGTGGCGCTTTCCAATGACCGATACATCAGGTTAAGGGTGCACCACTAGAAATAAATTCCCATAGACAGCAGTGATAAATCCCCATACTTCACAAACATCTTAAAAATACTCACAACTCTCACAGGTGTTCAGGCTGCACAAAAAAATGATGTTTCACATCTCTCCTTTCATTTTCCTTTCAATTTTCGGGGGTTGACCGGGGGGGGTGAATTTTTGAGAAATTTTCACCAGAAGCAGACCACCCCTAAAATGCAGAAAATGTCCATGTCCAGAAAAGTAGCCATTTTGAAAAACCATCCCTCGGCAAAATGGCTCAAAAAGTGCCACTTTCAAACCAGATTGCATCCAAATTGCTTAGAATCGGAAGCCCTGAGTCCAGCCCAGAGGTCCAGTCTCATATTTCTTCAATTTCCAACTTCCATGGCTCTCAGGACCCTCTAGTATAGAATATTTTTAGTGTATAACTTTTATTAATGAGCTCGGCAGACATATTTTTGGCCTCAGTACGAGGGTGCACCCTTAATGTGCAGCTGTGTCCGAACCAATTGTCTGCACGGACGTGTATAATAAAATCTGGACTCGCAATGCCCTTAATCAGCTTATTGAGATCATTGAATCAACTCGCGGCCATTTTACCGAGCCGAGTACAAAGCTTTCCTGGCAATGCCCGCCCTTGTTCTTCCTGACGTCAATAGTAGGGAGCCAACCCAACATTTGTATTCGGCTCGGTAAAATGGCCGCTGGTTGGCTTCTTTTTCATACAAAGGCGTTGCAAGTCCATGTTATTTTGTATACGTCCGTGACCGTCTGCGGCTAGGAGTAAACTGGTTGTACAATAGAAACTAGCTGCAGCCGCTATCCGCAAGCTTTCAATGGCACTTATTTCCAGCGGCAGCCATACAAATACATATATTTCAAAACAGCCTCGCAACAGACATGCGCCGGCCGTATAAGCGGCGTGCATTTTTGTCACGTTTCTTCAAAATTGTTGTTACCCAGTGGACCAGGGAAATTCCTCAACGTTTAAGCTTTTCAACCCACGACTGGCCAAGTCCCAGTGAACATGATGACTCCCATTTAACCGAAAGGCATGAAAGAAATCACTAACGATGCAGACTTTTGGTTATAAAGTCGTGTCAACACAATAATACCTACTCGTTAATGAAAATTGTTTGTCACCCATCCATGTTTGGTAAGTTATTGGGGTAACAGTCGTTTTGAAGGGGGGTTGGGGAGTGAGAGCGATTTAACAAGTTTAGTCGACTTCCCTTGAACATTGGTGCACCCAAAGTTGTCAATTCCAAAAAAAATACTACCTGCACTGTGAGCACACTCCCCCCCCAAAAAAAACACCACACCACTGAAAGCTGGTGCCCTCATAAGATGCTGGAGCCCCTCTTGTACCCCCCTACCTACGGCACTGTCAAGAATGTTCTGCATTATTGTACTTTTATTTGAAGATGACGCGATGCAGTAGGTACAAGAGGCTAGAGTATAAAGTTTATGCATTACATGGGGCCCCCCTTCACCGCACAATTCTTAAACCGAACCACTCAACTAAACACTCATGCCTAGAGCAAAATAGAAAGACTTCAATAATGCCCATGTACGTGTACATAATACTTCGCTCACGCTACATATGGCACCATTAAGTTTCGAAAGTGGGCGGATCCATATCCTGTTACACGTGCTCTGATTGGTTCTTCCGTTTGTGCACAAATCAATCGCAGCCGATGATAAATAGGGCAAGTTTTGCCTGCAGTTAGTAAAGGTCACGTGTTTTGACCCAAAAATCCAAGTATCTTTCATAAGCGTCAGTTTTTTTCGTCAGTATTTAATAATGAGAACACACAATACGTAATAGCAACAAATAATCTACTGCAGGTATGTGGTCAACATGAGTTTAAGTACAACAGACAAGACCTCAAAAGCAAACAAAACTCAAAAGTGCATACGTGTTATTCCACGTACGCGAAAACGAACACAGTACAGTGTGTAGCAAACAATACCACAAAATCACAGTGATAACTGTGGGAAAAGTCACAACTGACACTTGTTCAGATTCAGTACAGCTAAAACTAATCTCGTTTGTAACACGTACAAACAAACATGTAACGTGACATTTCCTCGGAGATTTTTGGGGGAATATAGCACATTATGGGTGGCTTCTCGTGGGTCCATTAAATGCGGTCATTTAAAAAGTGTACGCGCCATGTGCAAATCAGTGAACGCATTTGTGAAATGTCACCACAAAATGCACTGAAAGTCGGAATTTTCGAAAATTGAGGTATTGATTTTTTTTATTCAGCAGAAAAGGAGCTTTCCAATGGTACAATGTAAGTACATGTAACACTTTAAGGGTACAAGTAGGCGGCTGTGGGTCTTTGTTTCCGACACTGTTTCAACATTTCTGAATAATGCTATCGTCAAAATTGGTGAGAAAATGAGGTTTTTAAGTATATGATCCTGCTAAAAATCTGGAACTGAATGGAAGGGTTCATCTTTACAAATGTCACAAAACCCCCAAATTAACCCCCCTTTCACTTTTTGACATTAAACAGTCATTATAGGAAATAACGGATTGCGACTTTATATGCTCACTTTGTCGTGACAGATCACATTACTTACGCTGTTTCCGAACCGGGCCTTTAGAACTACGGCTGCATCTATTGTCAGCGCGTCTTCGTGTATTTCCAAAGGAGCGAAGTCCTAGACTAGCTCTAGATAACAGTTTCAGATGAAGCTTGAACTTTTGCTGGAAATGCTAAGACACGGCAAGTGAGGGCGCTCCACAACAAAGATCACTTCAGGGTCCAGTCCACTAATTCAACAACAGTGTAAAATCGGCATTGTTCAGGGCCCAATAACATGGATACCAACATCCCTGAAATTTCTGAAACACAAATAAAACTGTTGCCTGGCTCCTAATCTCTCTTTTCTTTGTTTGTTTGTTTGTTTGTTTGTTTGTTGGGGTGTTGGGTTGTTTGTTTGTTTGTTTGTTTGTTTGTTGGGGTGTTTGTTTGTTTGTTTGTTTGTTTGTTTGTTTGTTTTTGGTGGGTTAACCAATTACATTTCTCACAAATCAAACTCCAAACTCCCCCCAAAAGTGATTTTTTTCGAAGTCTGCTTGCAGCCATTTTGCAAGTGGCAACCCTCAAATTTCTCGGGCACTTAGGGTCATTCTTCAACCGTCGTTTTTAGCCCTTCTGCCCTCATATGAAAGCTCAAAGACCCAGAGAGTTGATCCCGGCAACGATTTACACAATCTCACCATTTTGGGGGCCAAGCAATCTCCTTTTTCAAACGATACTGTGGGGAGCACTTTTACTGCTAATGAGCTGGCCAGAAATTCTTACTTGGATTAGTAGACTGCACCCGTCAAGACGTTTTCAAGACACGGCCAGGTCCTGAGCAGTGCCCTTTGTGTAACAGGCTAATCTATGTGCTCAGACAGTGAACCGTAGGCCCCTAGTACTGGCGCAATGGGAGAGACTGTTAAGACAATGTGACATCACCAGTACATAGGCCTATACATTCGATTACTGCCCGACGCTGACAATAAAGGCCAACAAACAAATCGTCTCACATGCATTATGAATCTTGAAATTCTCAAGTTCATTCGGAGTCTGTTACCCGCATCTGAGAGTTCCCATGGTCTGGTTCCAGGCCATTGACAAAATACAAAAATGTGCAGGCAGACAATCGAGTAACCATTGCCAAAAGGCAGAAAAATTGTAATAAAAAAATCATGTAATATGTCGGGAAATCCGTAAAGAAAGGTGTTTCTACCTTTCTATCATGGGTCCGGAAAATTTCGGCCAATTTCGGAGAATGTTGGAAATATGAGGAATTCTTCCGGTTTTCACGTGACTGTGGCGGCTATCGAATGTATGATTTCGCAGAGTACAGTAGTTGGAATCTAAGTTAGTTTAGGAACCAGTCTAATGTAGATTTCGGGGCCTTTTCCCCTTCACCACTTAAATCACTATCATTTTGGTGGGTTCCACTTTTCTCCTTTGTGGACTCCTTCCACCTCATTAATGACAGCTGTTTTCATCCTAATAATGTGAATTTTTTATTTTCTGTTTTGTCGGCTTATTGGTCCTTCTCTTGTGTTGAAATAATACGCCTCTTTCAGAAAACAATTTTACAGTCACATTTCCTATAAAACGACTACCTGTCTACATGTACTGTGTAACAGTTGCAATTTAATCACTCGACAGATA